CTGCTGGCGTTCATGGCAGAGGCTGCGGAGCCGGAGGGCTACAGACTGCAGAAACAGGTGGGACTGCTCACGCAGCCATCACAAGGCAGAGGGGCTGCCGGCCGTACTGTACTCAAGGCACGACAAATGGGCTACAGAAGTAAAATGATTTGAGTGCTGTGAATCCAATATATACTGTATAAATTCTATTCTTATTTGTTTTTTTAGAATGCTCCCCACACACCAGCTCTCAGTGGGGAGGAGAGCAGAGTGATGAAGCCAGTTCAGAGACGGGGATTATTAGGAGGCCATGACTGGTAAAGGCCAATGGGAACACCAGGGTTACACCCCTACTCTTTTCAATAAACACCCTGGGATTTTTAATGACCACAGAGAGTCAGGACCTCAGTTTTATGTGTCATCCAAAGGACAGCGCCTTTTTACAGTATAGTGTCCCCATCACAATACTGGGGCGTTAGGACCCACATGAACTGCAGGGTGAGCGCCCCCTGCTGGCCCCACTAACACCTCTTCCAGCAGCAACCTTAGTTTTTCCCCAGGAGGTCTCCCATCCAGGTACTTACCAGGCTCAGACCTGCTGAGCTTCAGTGGGCTGCCAGTTGTGAGCTGCAGAGTGAAATGGCTGCTGGCCATAAGACAGATCAGTCTCCCAACACCCTTTGGGTGAAGAACTGCCTCCTGGTCTCAATTTTAAATGCACTTACAGGAACAGTGCCTATAGAAAGTCTGTACACCCTTTCCAAAGTAACACATTTAGTGGCCTGACAGACTGAAATCAAGAGACTTCAGATCACAATTTATTTCACCTTTATTTAAGCATTGTAACACACAACCTCTATAGCTCTACAGAAACTATCTTTCTGTAGTTCAGCTGGGTATCTTTGTCAGCATGGATAGTCTGCAAAGGAACGAGTAACAGGTTTATTCCCTGCTGAAAAGAGAAGAGTGAAAACACAACGTTTCAGCTGTGGAGCCTTCTTCACACCTGATAAAGGCTCCACAGCCGAAACATTCTGTTTTCTCTCTTCTCTTTTCAGCAGGGAATAAACCCGTTACTAGCATCTTTCTGTGGTTACTACACATGTATTGATTCAAGCTCCTTTCCTGTCAAGAACGAGGGATTGCACTTTTATTTCCTGATTACTAGCGGCTCTTCAGGGAAGATCTCTTCAGCCAGTCTCATTTGTTCCCTTCTACGCGTTTGCCAGTTGATTTACTCTGCATGATCGAGGAGAACAGAATAGCCCTGAAACAACCAGCATTTGTGCTTTGCCTTTGCCTTGTTTATTCCCAAGAGCTAATTAAAACACTCCCCTAGGGTGGCTCTCCAAGCCCTGCTTCAAAATAACTTGGCCTCATCTCGTTAGCAACCTTTTTTCTGTCACTGTTTTTATTGGAAAGGGCTGTTCTTTCCTCTGTATTTTCAAAGGTCTGTTCTTTTCATTTGATGGCCCTCTCCTATTAGGCCTATAGAATGCCCTTCTAATGAGACTCACAACACACAGACGCCCTACGAAGCTTTAAACATCCTGCTTTTATTTGCCCCATTAATTCTAGCTAATACGGCTCTGTTTGAGTTCTGCCTGATTCACCATCATGTGTTTTGATCAATTATTTATGCGTTGAATATTTTTAAAGATATTCAGTACTTGGTGTGGGTGTTAATTTCCTTCCGTTTATACTGCTTTTATTAACTGCACCATTTAAAGGTCTGTGTTGTAAGTACTGTATTTATTGTTTCTTGCTCTCCACAATACATTAGTTACTGTCTGTATAATGATACTGCTAAATTCCCATTCAGACTTCTGAATCCTTTCAGCAGCTTTTGTGCATCAAAGCTTTTTGGTAGGGAAGTCATTACTTAGATGAGGGTTATTCCCATAATGGCCAGATGTTGGGGTGTTGGCATTTGTGATATCATTCTGAGAAGTCCACATCTTGTATTAAGAATCATTCCATGTGGTTGATTTGTTTCACTATTTCACTGTTGTGGCTGGTGTGTCTTTTGTCTTTCGATGCACAGCATGATAACAGAACTGTTGTGTGCCGGACCTTCCTGAAGGCTATTGTGCAGAAGAAGTCCCTGTCAAAGATCCAGGCTGAGCAGCTGGTCCTGTTTCTCATGGAAACGCACACTGAGCTCTTTAAGGTGGGCCCTCCATTTCTTCAGTGCACCCAGAGCATGCAAATAGACGAGCAAACAGGTCGGAAACCTTTGAGGGCTTTACATTTAGGTCCAAGCTGAAATTGTTTTTTGAAATTATTTGTGTTATTCAAATATGAATGTAGTTATCCAGAGAAAAGGTATGTTTGGTGAAATGAAAATGCAGGATAAAACAGAACATCAGCAAGAACAGATTTAAAAGGTGCTAGAAGGTATATGTAATCGTGAGAACGATTTACAGATAATAATGATGTCAGTAATTTCTGATTACTGTTCAAAAGAAATGCCTACTTCAACAATATAAATTCATCAATGAAATATGTGTTTTTTTTATCTGTTTTAACTTTTAGACTCCTACATCATTGATCACAACCGTAGGCAAGAAACTTCAAAGTTTACAGCAAGGAAGGGACCCAGATAGCACAGCAGGTAAACTCTTTGTCTCCAAATATAGTTCCACTTTCCTGTGCTGTCCAGTGCCCTCTCCTGCTTTAGACAGCTGGCTCTCTGTAGGATTCCTCAGCATCTCCTGATGATCATCTGCATGAATTCAGTCCTGGTGTTCATCAAATCTTCTGGGCATCAATGTAAATTAGGATCTAAATGCAATAAATATTTTTTGTGGAAATTGGGAAGCTTTTTGTAGCAGGTGAATTGGCATTTTGTTGAACAGACACGATGCAGGTGAATTCATTCTTCATTAGACTCAGAAGGCCTGGGGTCTGCTGTAAAAATCAGAGGCTAGTAACGTGTGGCCAATTTCTTTAGGACCTGAAAGGTTCACATCGGTGATACATGATTAGCAGCAAGTATCAATTGTTGTCTTCTGGGGGTTCTGTCCATTCCTCTACCCAAAATGTCAACCCAGTTTATCCCACACATGTTCGCTAGGGCTCAAGTCTGGGTAACTGGGAATCCATAGTGTGGCTGCCATGCTCTCGGCTCACGGGTTCGTTTCAGCTCCACTCTCGAGTCGCTGGTCAGCCTGGCCGTGTCGCTGTGTCAGTGTGCAGCGTGGGCCTCCGTTTGACAGTGTCCACAGAGTGGACCTGGGAGGAGTATCCGATGATCTTCCCTGTAATCCCAGAGTAGTACAAATTGCACTTCAATCTGTGGCCTTATCCTTAAAGTGCCTTGATATTTAAGAACAGTAATGACAAAGTACAGTGCATGAATACAGAGCGTTGCAGTTTGGATACACAGTGTTTTAAATTTAAGCTGATATTTGTTTCCGCATCATTCCTAGGGAGTAACTGAGCACAGTATGTCGTCTTGGGGGTCAGCCGGTTGGGTTTTAAGTCTGTTTATGCGGAAGTGGCCTTTCTTTTTTTTCCCAGCATTCACGTACTGTGAGCAGCTGACGCTGGAGCAGTACAAGGAGCAGGGGCTGCAAGCGACTGTGAAGCAGCTTCGGCTCTTAGTGAGGGACATCGAGCACAGCGCCTCCCTCCCTGCCAAGGAGAAGGACAGGCTCGTGAAAGAGCTGCAGAAACACCATCCTTCCGCTTTTCTCCACTAGAGCTCCAAGTCCCTCCCCAGAGGAGACGGTTCTAATTTAGATTCGTTTATTGTACTGGATTTAAGGGGTAGATTTTTAATGAACAGCATTTTGCACTTGCGTGTTTACAGAAGGTAGCGTCACACTGGAGGTGAAAGTGTCAGTCCTGTGAAACGGCCAACAGTCGTACACACTGGTAGGTTTAGAATGCTGAATGTTATGAAACAAGAAATATAATCTCTTGAAATATAATCACAGAAAAAATGCTCTGCCTAGTGACATATCTCATGCGGAGAAGTGCACCTTCTTTGAGCACATACACTAAGGTACATTGCAGTCCTCTACACTATCCTACGTTACAGTACACTACAGCGTGGATTTTATTCCTAATTCTGGGAAAAATGGGTCTTATTGATTTTGTCTAATTGAGCTCTGAATCAGAGGCTAGCTCACTTCTGTAATTGAATGTCGTGTTTGATTATACTCTTTCAGCCTACAATATACATCGAAGTGCATTTAAAACCGAGAACAGGAGGAACTTCGTTACGCTAAAGTCAGTGGGAGTAGGGAACAAGCTATCCATTCATATAGTTGAAGCGAATAAAAAAGTGATTCTGTTCTGCAGAGTCTGCAGAGATCCAATTACCTACATTCCACACGCCTGAAAGAGGGTAGGAGTGAAATTCAGAAGGTGGTTCAGGGTTATTATTAACTGCTAACAACATCCAACTGTTTATCAATTAGGCTAGATTAATCACTTAATTGCTCTTCTTAAGAGACGACTGAAGGCCTTAATCCACTACCTTCCACGTCCCGGAGGATCAGTCATTTTGCATGTTTACTTTTCAGCTCTGACCTTCTGCCCTGACATACGTTGGCAGGTTGCTGGCTTAAACGGACCAATTTATCAATTTCTCCCAGTTCTTCAGCTGCTGCTGCCTTAAAGGGCAAAGGCAAAGGAAAACCTGCAGATCTGCGTGCCCTCCAGGACAAGGATGGGACAGCCCTGACTTGACCGATTTAAGAGATCGGTGGAATGAAAACACAAAAACTCTGGGCTCTTCTTAAAACCAGAACTGGGACCCACTGTACTACAGTTTGATTTGTTTGTGACGTTGTTTTCGAAGGATATACGGTAGTGTTGTTCATTTATTTGTCAGATGCTTTTAGCCACTGTGATTTACTTTTGTGCCTACTTATACAGCTGGGCATTTCACTGAAGCAAACTCAGTGGTGTACCTTGCTCAAGGGTACAACTGTAGTAGTCAGATTCAAAGAATTTCTATTGGCATGTTGGCACGACCAGTGAATTACACTGTCGCCAATGCAATGACAGTCAAACCTTTCCAGCAATAACTTCTATTGATAATAAGTGAGAGGCAGACTGTCTGTTCCTCAGTCTGTGCCACGAGCTCACCTGCCACATACTGGACTGCAGCCCTGTTGGGCCCAGTAGCAGTCCAGTTTGAGTGTGTGTCGTCTCTGTGGCTGTCTGGAGTGGGCTGAGATAGGGGAGGCTGTGATTTGTGGTGTTTTACCTGGCCTGTCCCGACTACATCAGCTGGGATTTGAATATGAATACTTCATTATTATGAATCGTGAATTCAGTTAGTGCTGGCATATTGGTCAGAATAGACATAAAGGTTAAGAACTGCCCCAGTTAATAATTTGATAAGAATATGACCCAGTGTATATTTTGAATCATTTTAAACACTACTGTAATGTAATATACCATTTTCTTTTCTGTGTTTTGTCACCTCTACTTTTAAGCAGCAATCTCTGGTATAACGTTAACAGAAAAACTACATAATGTGTGTACATAAAAAGAACCAGATTCTTTAGTTATTCTTTAGTCATTCATTTTCATGAGCAAATATCTTACGAACATTGTAAGTTTTATCAAGCATTGTCAGTCGATATAAATGTGCTAACTCCGATCATTTTTTATGTTGCTGAAAATTCACTTTATGTTGTGTTTTTTGTTAAGGTTATATTAATATTAGGTCCTAATTCTTCTTACACCCATAAGATTTTAAAATTAAAACAAATAGGTTTCATTCTGTAAACTAGGATAAGAAAGTTCCAGTTTATAAAACTACATCCCATAAGGTTTTTCATGCTGTCTATACTTTCAGCCACAGGCTCAGAAAATTAAGTAGCATCTTCAGAAATTAAATGTAATTGAGACTAGAAAGAGGAAAGTTGTTATTGAAAAGCACTTTACACTTAAAAAATGTTTTGTGATCTCAAACACGTTTTTTATCCATTGCTTATTTATTGTATTTTAAATAAACCAATCAATGCCAGATAATATTAAAAA